CTGTTCGGAAGCAGTCATTAATGGGATCTCTTGGAGAGGTGGGAAGCAGCCAGCGGGCCGATGCAGGCAGAGGAAAAAGGAGGAATGAATGAAGAAGGCAGGAGGAAAATGCAAAGCTGTCCGGGGAATGTTCATACTTGTATTCTTCAGTCAGTGCAAGAGAACGCCTGAACCAAGATGAAGACAACAGACGATGGCTAATTCAAAAGGGAGATTCTCTTTTATTGTATACAGAGTGATGTGAAGGAGGAACCAAAGGTCAGGAAAATGTGATGCTCCTACATCAGCTTTAACACATTCATGCATGTTTGGATTTACTGTGAAACTTGCAGCCATTTTTCAAATGAAGCAGAAAAAGATTAAAAAGAAAAAAAAAGAAAAACACTGGAGGGAAACTAACACCAGTGAGTTGAGGCAGATTGTTTAAGATTCTATTGTTCTTCTAAGTGTAGGCCAGAAGAGTAAAGTCCAAATTAAAAACCCAATCATTTAATTTAGTGGTATCGTTTGTGATGCTCCATGCTTTTTGATTGGATGTTTGCTTCATCACACTGACACTYGACACGTTAACCAAGAAAACCAAACTTTTTTTGCACGAAAAACAAAAAAAACAAGACATGTTGCATTCTTTGAAGCAATGCAAACCGCCCACTGCAGTACAGTTCTGCACAATCACATAATCAAAGTAAGTGTATGTGTTATAAAATGACTCATATACTGCCATATCAAATCTGATCTCAATCTGTGCAAAAGTGACAGATCTATAGCTGTTTGTTTGCTTATGTCGATTAGATGTGATGGCCATCTTAGAAAAAAGCTTATTGCTCATTAAAAAAAACACAGGATAAGCATAAAACTGTACATTACTAACACATTTAAAGCAGTTCAGAAAAGATGAGTTTTAAGATAGGATTTAAACGAGGACGGGTCTGTACAGTCACGGATGTGTTTAGAGACGGAGTTCCAGAGGCTGGGAGCAGCTAAGGCTCAGCCCAGGTCTGGTCCTKGGTCCTGAGTGGTGGAGGAGGAGCGGAGGCTGAGGGTGGGTGATAAATTTAAAAGGAGTGACTATTGTGGAATATCAAAATAAATAAATAAGTAAATAAATAAATAAAAACAACATTTATGGGGTGCCGTTTGTAAAGTTACACAAAAATTACCACCAATATTTTAGTTTTATTTGGCCTTTTATAAGGAAAAAACAGATTTGTTTTTCAAAGTCAGTTTTTCACCATATGATTAATRCACTTATAAATGTCATAGTTTATAAACTAACTATTTAACTTACAAATTAAATATTTAGTTAACCAGCTAAATATTTAACTTGTGGCTTAAATATTTAGTTTTGAGCTAAATATTTAGCTTGCAAGTTAAATATTTAGGTAGCTACCTAAATATTTAACTTAAATATTTAGCTTGCAACTTACATATTTAGCTAGCAAGTTAAATATTTAGCTAGCCACCTAAATATTTAAGTTAAATATTTAGCTAGCTACCTAAATATTTAGCTAGCAAGTTAAATATTTAATTTATAAACTATGACATTTATAAATGTATGAATCATGTGGTGAAAAACTGACTTTGAAAAATGAATCAGTTTTTTTCTTATAAAAGGCTAAATAAAAAAATATAGGTGGTAATTTTTGACTGTGTAACTTTACAAACGGCACCCCATAAACATTAATTTATCTTATAGTGTTTTGCGTCTTTGTTYACAACTGAACTTATGTTCACTCCATAATCATTACCAGGGGTGCAACGATACAGAAAATTTATGATTGGGTTCGATAGTTTAGTGTTCCGGTTCARTTTTTTTGATACAAAAGAGAGAAATTTTCATCCCTTTCTTAACTTGTAATTTATTGAAATTAATTATGAACATTTGTTTAACGCCAAAAGTACAGTTTTTAAAGTAAATGTTGCTGAAACAGCAAGTTTCTCAGTGAATCTGCACTCGACAATGCAGCCTAGTAGTCGAACGCAGAGCAGAGCATCTTCAGAAGACAAGTTGATCAAATTAATTTTAAAATAGTTTGTGTTGAACCTAAAGCACTGTATTGAACAGTTCAATACAGATACACGTATAGTTGCACCCCTAATCACTACCTAATTCTGAACATCACAGTTCTGACAGTTTACAACCCTTCAGGCTGCGAGTCTTGCAAAGACAGACGGCTCACAGCTGCTTGTCGTGTTTTGACCTCTGTGGGAGGTAACGTGAAAAAGTGGAAGTGATCTTGTTGACTCCTGGAGACGATCGGCRTACATCCTCTTATGAAACAGCGCAGACTCATGCCGTTGCAACTTGCAAACCAATGTAAACAACCTTGTGATGACATGCTGGGGAGCTGAGTTTGACATCAACATGTTATTGCACATGACAGAACYGTGTCGTTCAGAGTGACTAATGACACAGAGGAAAACAAATGTGTAATTGCTGCTTTGGCTAAAGGACTGAAACATCCAAAACTTTTCTAACACAGCCCAGAGACTTCACCTCCTTTTTATTACTCTRCCGTGTCCTTACTGAACCCCCATCCTGGATGTCGGAGCTCGACACAGCTGTAACTTATTAGTTCCTTCCACTCTCACCGGGCTCTCGTCCAGCTCTGACAATGACCGGAGCCCTCCGCTGGAGTGCCCACTGCGCTGGACTCTGTAGGTGCTGCTTCGTGCCATCCGGGACACCTTTCAGACACAATACAGCTCTGGGAGGGAGGGCAGGCTGGGAGAAAGAGCTGTGTGGCGGTGTTATGTTATTTACATCTGGCTCTGATGGTATTGTTATCTAAAGGTGAACTCCATGAAAAGAAGCAAAGCTCTGTGGGATGATGCAGTTTCATTCTTGCGGCCCTGTTGAACTTGARTTAGCAGCGGCTCCCTGTTCCACTTCTGTAATGAGGTCAAGGACTTAAAAGTTGATGTGCGTCTGTGTTTTTTAACCAGATGGATCTGTACATATACATGAAAGCAAATTTTCTGTGTGAAAATGATGGCCTTTGTTTGTGGGAACAAACTGTAGATCTTTGTGGTTGTAAGTGGGAATCACAGGAGACGTTCTGAGCAAGCAGATCTCCTGGCATTGATGGTTCATGTGATATTTTGCTAACAGTATGAGGAAACAGACAGGGAGAACCTATAGGCAGCAGGTGATTTGAAGGCGTGGAAAACATCTCTTGTCTATGATTTGCTTTGCGATCATGTTTTGCATTATTTAAAACTGCCACAAATAAGTTTTTTCCTGCTAAATGCTTCTGCAGCGCTCGAAGTGCTAATCCACTGTGTGCTAAAGAACAATGTTTGAGCTCTTTAAAAATAAAAACTTTACCTTTTCAAATTCACTCTGCTTTGGTCAACCATTGAAAATAACGTGAACATGTATGATAAAGTCATGTTCAGAGTATGTGTTGCGTACGACTCTCAGCTACTACCGCATCAGTTTGTTTCTCTTTWTCTATAAAACTGACTGAATTATAGCCATTTTTTGGTGTTTTCTAAAGTCATTTGCTTCTTTCTGTAAAAGTCGAGGCTTATCTCACCATATGTGTGTGGCGTGTTTAAGCTCTTATCAGCTAAGTGAAGAGGAGGTGAGTAATTCATCATCACTTTCATTTGCCAGCTGTGGTTAACATCCAGGGTTCATGTAAACTGGGGATTTTGTTGTGCTGTCAAGGGAAATTTTGAGAACACGTAATGTCAAGGTTGTTTTTGAGCCTCTATCTCTATTCTTGTCTGCGTGTTCAGACTGTGACAACTGATAAAAAATATCAGAACTGTTCATTTTTATTTTTATTTTTTGGTTGGTGGCTGTGCAGAGAAACAAAACTGTGAACAAAGACTCTCCGATCATTTCTCTGTCTGTCTGTCTCTCTTTGTCTCTCGCTCATATTCATATATGTAAAACGCATACATGCTCCCCACCCTCACATCTTACTCAAACTGAATCTCCTGCTCTTTACCAACACCGTTCATCATGCTTCACTGACACAAACTCTGACTGATCTAATTAAATGTATTTAGTTCCTTACACACACACACCCCCACCCCGGCGCAGTGTAGAGGGGATTTTCTAGATCTTGAAATGTTGTCTACAAGTGACCATTTTTTTAAAATGCTGGACTTCTGTTTTTCATTTTGTTTTTTTTTTACCAAACCACTCCCTTTGCCTAACATGGCCACTTGGGTTACTGTTCCACTTTGGTTTTCTTGAGGTTTTCTGCTTTTAACGCTCTTTGCTGTAAAGATGATTTTAGACGTTGAAAAGTAGGCGAGATTTAGAAATCACTGTGTTCATAACAGAACTGAAACAAGTTGCCACACCTGGGCTTTCCTCAGTTGGTGCATTAAAAAAGACAAATACACTGATAAACAGAAAGTAAAGTTAAAGGTGAAGTTCAACCCAACCTGATAAGTAAGTTTAATACRCTGTTTTTTTCCTCTAGTTTTTAGCATTTCTTCATATGATTTTTATTTGAGGGCAACTTTTCCTCTAACCTTTCACAAAGATGTAGGTCTGCTGTCTGTTGGTTTGTGGTAATTTAACCCTCAGAAATAGGTTCAAACTTTAAAGGGAAGCCGTTTAGAGACGATGTGACAAATTAGTTGATGCCATACTGCTGTTGGTGGTTTGGGCTTTCCTAAAACTGTCTGCTCTGAGACTGAGCAGGTGCCTCTGAACTGGACTCGATGCGGATTAAAAAAAAAATATCAACACCTGTATGCGCTTCTCTTCTCACTCATATCTCCCTTTATGGTTTTTCTGTCAGCTGAGCCTCTAAGCTTGTTTTCATACTGTCTGGGCAGTCTGCTTTCATGCAAATCCAGAGTTATAACGCAGCCTGGTGTCCACAGAAAGAGGCGTGTGTGTGTGTGTGTGTGTGTGGACATAAACACACCATAATAGCAACGATGTTGATAAAATTCCACAGAAGATGTGAGTGGGTTTGGCATTTTGGTGAGTTATTACCAGCTTTCTTTCCTGCTCCTCCTCAGATCCTGAGCGGTGACCATGCAGCACACGTCCTGCACCGAGGACCGGATCCAGCACGCTCTGGACAGGTGTCTGGACGGGCTGAGACAAAGCCCCACGGCAGCGCACCACTGGAATGGTAACAGCCAGTTTAAACCAAATATTATGTAGAGGGGACAAAACACCATTAAACCGAAATGTTTTACTCTGTCTGATTTTTCTTTTTTTTAATAAATAGTTGTTTTTTTTTTTTTGTCCAGTTGGAGGAAACCTTGTATGTAAATGTTCAGGATTAATGCAGGAAATTCTGCGGAAAAAGAATTTGAGGAAAATTGGAAATTTATGCAAAGCGGAGAGGAAGCTCCAGTTATTTTAGGAATTCACTAAAAATGTGAAGTTGTTCTGCTTTATCTGCACAACTTCAACCTTTATTACTGGAAGAACTAAAGATAAAAATGACATCTTTTTTTCTTAATTAATTTTTTAATTAAGACTTTGATGAATTTATATAGGAATGTCATGTAGGAGGACTAGTGTGAGAAAATCCACAGAAGTTTTCTACAAGCAATCTTTTTTTTTAATGTCGTCTGGAAATCCCACAGGAACCCCAACTTGGTGTTTTCTTCATTGTGGTGTTTTGTTTGTTTTGGCTGCAGAGCATTAGAAGACATCCACCTGCCAACTGTGGGTATTTAGATGAGTGGAGGTCCGTCTGATGTCTCTTTGTAATTTGTTGGAAGCTTTTGTGATTCTGACTGCACAATAATGCTGTAATATTTGTAACCCTTGAGGCTGACATTGTAAGAACTGGGTTATTTAAGAGTCTATGGTTGCTGTGCTCATTTCAGTTTCTCAAAGTTAAAAGCTTATTTTCTTAGWAAAGTTTCCCCCAGCACAGGTTTAGATCTCATATTTGTTGTTGACCATAATTCTGACAGTTTGCAGTTGTTGTTTGTTTTCACAGTATCTCAGCAGCAGCAACATGTTGCATGACAATCAGCCGGAGCCTGTGAGTGCAGAGGTGTCAGAGTTTGTTGTTGGTGACACTGTTGCTTTCAGATCAGCCAGCGAGCATATTATTGGGTGTTGGAGGAAGTTGTGTGAATACGACAGCTGGTGAGGATGTGGCAGCACCGACCGCAGCGTGTAGAGAGGCATCCAGGGGCAGGAGGAACGATAGTGCRGGGTGTTAAAAAATAAAAAAAAGCACAGGGTGGAAGATGGCATCGACGTCAGCATGCACATGTCAACCAGTACCGCACAGAACGATAACAAAGGCTTGATGTGTGCGCTGGATTTTTGAGCTTTTTTACCCCGAAAGAATCCTATAAACTGTAATGGGTTTTTCTGGTTTTGTATTTTCTGCATGACAAACATGAGAAGGTGTGATCACGTATCTAGAAACCCCTCTTAAAGCGATAGTACAAGTACAGTATTTAGAAGTGGAATAGCCTATCGTTTGGAGATCGCTCTTCTAACTGCACAGAAAAGTTAAGTCTGAGCTAAAAAACGTTTAGCAGATCACTAAACTTTGTTTTATATACTTGCATCGCTGTCTGCTTTATTCACATGACTTTAAAACACCACCTCAACATTTACATATAATATTATGGTTATTTGCAAGTGAAAATGGCAGCAGCAGCTAGCTGTAGCACATGTGGTGAAGCTAAGAACTGGTAAGCAACATAAAAAATCTAAAAAAGACTTCGATGTTAAATCATTCTGAAATTTTATTTAAAGCTTTATAGAAACTGAGACTGTTCACAGAGCTGTCTGTGACAGGTAGGATACTAACTGTTCATTACCTAGTCCACAGAACCACTCTTAAAAAATAGACTTTAAAAGTCCTGACACAAAAAAAATCTTAATTTCAAAAACAGTTTGTTATAATTCACCTTTAGAGCTTATCTGTGGAAAGGTGTTAAATGTCAGATAGCCCTCGAAGGTGCTGAGAGATTTAAGGAAAACTCAGCAGCAGCTTATTCGTTTCCTAAAAATCATTTTAGTTTAACAACAACAGCTAAAGCTTGGCTTTATAGAGATAGAGTCTTAGAAAGTTATTGACGAGGGAAAAGTTGGGTGTTTTTTAACATTTCGGTTGTTTTTGTGAGTCAGACACTCAGTGTGGTTCATGGTTCTGTTGTTTACCTCAACTTTCTCTTTTCCACTACAGAACCAGAGTTCTTTTTAACACATGTTAAGATTTTAATCTTTTTCAAATTTCATTACGTTTAATTAAAAAGCTTCAACCCAACACTTCTGACAATTTACTTAGCTGTTCCTATCGTTGAGTTTATCCAAACTTAACATTTTAGCCTCTAAAATTATTTAAGTCGCAACCCCCATCTTCACCACACCAGGAAATGTTTCCTGTCATCTTCGTATTCAGAGAAACATTTCAACAGAACTGCCAAACAAGAGGTGATGAATCACACYCTTGAAGCATGTTGTCACTGGTGCTGTTATTCTACGAGAAGTGAAAGATGGTACACAGGCGGGTTTGTGTGTGTCTCGCCTGAAGGACAAAGTCGTTGGAGTTGATGTTGGCGGCTGATTGGTTTGAAGTTGGCTTAAACCTGAAAATGGAAAGCCAAGATAGATTTCATCTGAGGGAAGAAGAAACGGAAAAATGGTGCGCAGTGCTGCGC